CACAAGACAGCAAAGCGGTCAAAGTTGGAGGTCTTCGCTCTTAGGTTAGAGGCCGTCGAAGGCAGGTTGGGGGCCATCGCTAGTAGGTGACAAGAAGCACAAGACATCAAAACAGCAAAACAGCAAAAGTTGGGGGTCCATTCTAGTGCGTGGAGGCCAAAGTTCAAGTTAAAGAACCCCTTACAAAGTTTGGAGGCCTACCTGCAACCTATAGGGTAGCCTTAGAGGAAAACAGAAGGAAAGGCACCGGCACACAAGTGTGTCGAGTACCATTTCCTCCTGTTTTCCTAAATAGGGAACAGGTACGGAAGTTTGCGTCCAAACTTCCATCCAGTCGATTTCCATAGCTTCATTGGCGTGACTAGGAAATCGACCGTCACGCCCCCTGTTCCACACCTTAAGGTTCCCTCTGATTCCAAGGGTTACACACACACACACGCACACTGGAAGAGCGAAAGCATCCAAGTGCGAAGTATGCCAGTGTCAAAATGTGCAAGTGTAAGTACGCAAGCATGATATGCAAGGGTGAGTATGCAAGCATGCAATGACTATGCAAACATGCAATGAGTAGGCAAGTGTGAGTATGGAAAACTAGCACGGGAGATGTCCTAATGAAAAAACATTTCCCCACTTTATAAATTCTCTCTTAAAGGCGGAGTGCGGGACGAACAGCGTCAACCGAAAGTGCAACCCTCTGCGGAGATCGTGCGTGTCGAGTGCGCGAAACACAGTTGGAAACCACGAGTCGCAGGTTTTAAAGGGCAAATTTGCAACACTCGATTAAGAACTTTTTGGGCCGGACCAATGCGGTTAGATTGTCAATTGTCACTAAGTTTAGCACAAGGGCGTGGGGATTATTGATTTCCTTGTTTTGGTTTGTGTAACTCGATGCACCTCAAAGAAATCAATAGGAACCCTGAAGGCTGATTGCGAGGTTCCCCCACATCCAACCAGTCAGACTCAAAGACTCAAAGCCAACAATGAGAGCAGATGCTGGCAGCTTTTTCCCAGCTGGAGGCGAGTGATTCCCCTGGATCCCCCGGATGGCCCTTGCCTGCCACGAGCAGGTCCAGGAGCCAAAGACCCCGCTGGGTTTGCATGATGAAGCACGGACTGTGCTCAGCTCCCCGCACAGCGAGGTCCTAGAAGGTGCTTTGCTGGGTGTAGATGTTGCGACGCGGAAGGGCGGTGAAAGGAGGAGTGCAGCATAGAGCAGCACAGATTCCAGCATTGAAACTGGTACTCGATGGCCGTGTAGCTGCGGATTTTTTCGGGTAGATTGAGTGAGTTGGGTTGGGTCGGTTTGAATGTGTATACTTAAGTCACAAGGACATTGCTGCAATGGCCATAATGCTCCAAAGATTTGGATTCGATATGCTGCCACTTGTTAGAAGAGATGCTGCACCTGCATTGTCCTTCTGTGCCCCAGTTTTGATTTCAGACTCCTGTCCTTGTGGCCCCTGGAGGTCAGATTGGGAATGCCTTGGTGAAGGACATATTGGAATGGGCCTCAACTCCTCAGCACGAGCGAAGCGAGATAGCTGATGACCCATTGTCACCGGCAGGCGGCCTAGGACCATGAAAATGGAATAAGCACGCGGTAGAGACGTAGACGAAGAGCATGAATGAGATGCTATTGACTTTGTTTCTAGTTCACCGATGGCTCTGGTAGAGATGCATGTTGGGCGATCAAGGTGAATAGTCATTGTTGCTCATGTCACGTGCAAGGCCATGGATTGAAAGTTGGCTCTACAGATGATCGGCTAGCAAACGGAGGTTCTGGCAAGGGGCATGAAGTTGCCATGGACCATGATTTGTGCGACCAAGAAAACCTCTATAACACAACTGCCAATTAGTGCGGTCCACACATCGGCACTTTTCCACAGGTGTGGCTGCCGCCACGCTGGTGGACGACGTCCTCGCCGAGACGGACCATCACGAACCTGAGCGAGAGTGCGATTTGTCCGGTCCGCGCGCAA